ACGTAATTGCTGGCGGAAAATTGCCCCCCCCCCCGTTAACAGAGAAGAACGGTAGTTGTTCGTAGACATTTAATACTAAAATTAATATTTAAATTCAAAGAAGTAAAAACTCACGGGTTAAATGCCGTGTCGATTGGGTTTGTGATGCAAATCTTGCAACTCGACGCCGGGAGCTCGCCGTCGGATTGTTGGGCCAGTTCGCTGGTCGTGTGCCTAGATTCATTGGACGTTTTTCCGTTACACACCTACCGACGGCTTCTCCTTCTCGTGGACCTCGTCGGTCGCCTCTGTTCATCTACAATTCCGGGTAGCGGTATCGGATCTGGGTACTTGCGCATTATCGGGGGGGGGGGGGGTTTGTATATCCAGAAATGCCTCGAAATTTTTATACTAGGGATTTTAATAGCTTTGCTGGGAATTTAGCTATAATTTAAGGGGAAAAACTATTCGAAAAACTTTTGTAATTGTTAAATTTCGAAATTTTGATCGCTGAAAAATCGAGATTATTTGTATTTTTAGTAAAATTTTGAGCTTTAGGGCATCGCTAAAGTTTTGTTAAACTACCAGCCAGGCGTGGAAGAGCTTGCTGCTCTTGCATATTCGGCTCCGAGCGGCTTCTCCTATTTTCGAGGGCGGCCACCATATTTTGGATGTGTCGCCCGTTCGGGCGGGCTCGAGGCGGGAGTGCTACAAAAATCCCAGCCTTCCCCAAAGGATCTCTGCTAGCCTACCGGGGTGTTCAGCTACTGGTCCGGGATCAGGAATTGGGGGTTGACGCTCTTCGATGAGATTGGTTACTGTTTCGGTCTCGTCAATGGGCAATCGTGGCGTAATCTAAAGTTTAAACATTTCCTTAATTTTTGCTATAAGTTTAATTATGCTTAATAGCGTAATAGTGCGCTAATTTAAACTCAAGTGTTTTTTAAGCAAAATTGATCTATATTAAAGTAGAAAAACAGTTTAGATGACAAAGAAAACGGTTAACAGCTTGAAATTTTATTCGAAGCGCCATTTTTTTACGTTAAAAAAATAAATTTTTGTGGTATTTTTCATTCTAAATCTGGAATCTTTGGACGTTTAGAAACAATGAAAACAATGAAAAGCGCTTATTTTTTTTTCAGCTCTCTTCACTGCTTCGTCTTTCTCTCTCTCTATCTCTCTCGCTCTTCGTCTTCTTCGTTCTCGCTCACCTCTCCTCCCTTTACAAATGTAAACCGTCTTATTTTATCCATAAGAAAACTCGGACAAAGGGGAGAAAAGTTACATTTTATTTATATTTCCAAAATCTCCCAACCTCCGCAATTTCTCGCCCTCATAGAAATGACATTCGATGTGTCGATTGGAGTGTGCCGGAACTTTATGATCCGGTCTGTTAAGTATTCCTCATGCACCTTAGAAAACTCTTATAGCTTTAAGACCCCCGAATTCCCACCCGATAGCATCCTGCTCCTCGGCAAAGCCAATAGTCCCGTAGCCACGTAGCGCATAGAGCGGCTGCCGGTTGATTGCTTGGATTCTGGGGGACATTTTGATTCTCAAAAAATAGAGTCAAATACCAGATATACCGTAATTTTTGTAAAGTTTAAATCACCTCTCCCTCTTGCGCGAAGACCTGCTCAACCTTAGCGATAGCTTCAAGTTCCCACTCCCATATGGACTAGCAGGGTGTGTCTGAAAGGGGCCTGATTCTCAGCTGGACAGGTCCCGATGAGTCTAAATGCCGACAGCTTCCGGGTTGTCGGCATTTTGGCTGTCGGAAATTGGGCCCCGCCGACGTTTTGACTTTCGGCATCTTCATTGTCGACATTTTCCCCGCCAGTATGTCGCCTGTCGGCATTTTGGGGCTTAGCTTTCCGCTGAACTTTACGAGGAAGTTTTTTTGTCGGGCTGCGTCAATCCCGGATGTCGTCATGTTTGGCCGGAATTTCCGGAGCTTTACGAGTTACGACTCACCCGGGTTGACTGGAGGAAAGACTGGCGATTGCTGAGACAAGGAATTCATCGAGAAGTTCGCCGTCTGTTTGAGGGGATTCTGTAAGCGCGGCTAGAGAGGGAGGAGAGAGAGAGTGAGCGAGAGTGAGCGAGAGAGAGGGAGATAGTGAGATAGGGAGAAAGATGGAGAGAGAGACAGAGAGAGAGAGATAGGGATAGCGAGAGATAAATAGAGAAAGTGAGAGAGAGAAAGAGAGAGAGAGAGAGAGAGAGAGAGAGAGAGAGAGAGAGAGAGAGAGATAGAGAGCAAGATGGAGAGAGAGGGATAGAGGGAACTTCAGGACTCGAGAGGAGATGAGAGAGAGAGAGAGAGAGAGCGATTTGAGAGAGGGAGATAAGGCTATAATCTCAACACTCAGCCAACAATTGTCCCCAATCCCTCCCTGAATTCGAAATTCTGATCCGGGTCCGGCTCATTTTCCACATCCAGCGCCGAGAATCTGAATTCCCACAAAAATTACAAATTTCTCGAAACTGCAGCTTTTGAGTCTGGCCCTTTTTGGCTACTTTTAACGCTGACGGCATTGCCGTGGTGTTCAGCTGTGTGATAAATCAGGCGATTGTGATAGGGCAGTGTCTGGGCAAGGCACAAATATGATGTTTTCTTTTTGTGCGCTTTTAGAGCCCGGATTTGGTGATTTTTTTGGGGGGTTACCGACCGGCCGGTGACGAGCCATTGCTGGTATTCGAGCTCGCTCAGGTAGTCGGAAGTCATTTGGGGGGTTCTATAAAGTTTATAAACTTCTTAAAAAATAAAGAAATTATATAAACTTCACTAATAAATAATAATGTAGAAAATAAAACTTCAATAATACTAATAATAAAGATCAATATAAATTTAAAATCGATAAAGTTAAACTTCTGTAAAGTTTATGACTAAATTTTAGGCTCTTTGGCATTGTCGGGGTGACCAAACTTTCCCCTATAAATCCAGAAATGCCTGGTAAAGGTCTTAATACTGTTTTTAGCTAATTTAAGTCTATTTGAAGTGGGAAAAACTCAACAAAACCTAGAAAAGAATTTAAATGAATTTTTTAGCTGAACTTTGGGTGGAAAAATTTTTGACAATATGTTATATTTCTATTTTTATGTATTTTTGAATGAAAATTTGTAGCGTTTTTACGTTTTGAAATGGTAAAGACGCTTAATTTAGATTAGAAACGCCTGTATTTTTGTTAGAAAAATTGAAAGCTAAGAAAAAGCCTCGATGAAGCCGCTGAATGAGTTTGCCCAAGTCGGGCAACATTATTTACCAAAACTGGGGGCGTGGCCCGGAGACAACAAATGTTGAGACCCCGGGCTCCAGGCACTGAAAACAATCGGGTACATTCAGCCCCGAGGTGGAGCCGACCCAAAACACGGCTGAATCACGCCTGGCACGAATTGTTAGTCAGGGGATTTAACTTAAAAAATATTATTTAGGTATAGGCGGCAGGCTTGGCTTAGCTTAGGCTTAAGCATAGGCTTAAGCTTGGCTTCGGCTTTGGCTTAAGCTTAGGTTTGGCGTAGGCTTAGGCGTAGGCTTAGGCGTAGGCTTACGCTTAGGTCTTTGTTTGGACCAACAGTTGCTTTATTTGAAGCTAAAAACGGCTTAGAACACTCAGAAAAGTTTACATTTTTAAATTTCGATCGAATATCGGCCGTTTTGGTCGAAAAATCGGTATTTTTGCAGTTTTAATAACAAAAATATTGGGTTTAAACCTAGGATTAGTGAAAACAGTTCCTATATCTCAGAAAAATTCATTTAGAAAATTCACAAAATTTAAATTTTTTTTGAGTTTATTGGCTTTATGTTAAAGAATCGTAAATTTGAGCCTAATCCGAAGCATAAGCCCGTTGACGTAAAATCACTTAAAAACAATACTTTATTTTAATAACATTAAATTTCCAGGTGCTCGAGTACATCCGATTGCCGCTGTGCGATCCCAAATTTTTGGTGTCTGTCGTCTCCGAGGATCCGCTGGTAAAAGCCGACCCTGCCGCTCGAGATCTCGTAGATGAAGCCAAGGTAATCAATTAATTTTATAAATTTTGCGTATATTTAGCAGGATAACTCTAAAACGCTAATTTCAGAACTACCTGCTCCTCCCCCTCGAACGGGCCCATATGCAGGGCCCGCGGACGCGGCTACGACGCGCCGCGTACTGCGGCGAAGTGCTGTACTCGGGTGTGTAACGTAGTTTATCAAAACTTATACATCATAAATTTCTGCGCCTCGACATTGCCTAACGGTGATGACGGGTCAACGGCCCAATAACAATGATTTGTGATAAGAGCTCGTTTCGTAAGTGACCGGGTACTTGGTGTACCCGGAAATAAAAAGGAAAATAATTCACCCCCCCCCGATAATGCGAAAGCGCCTTTTTCATGGTTACGATTCAAGGAAGTAAAATATCGAGTAATTATGATACAAGAATTTTCAGTTGGAGGATGGTGTTGCGGAGAAGCAATTAAACACGTCGAACGCATGAACCCCAACCAGCGACAGCCAAAGTGGGAGCAGGTAGCCCCGATGAAGAAGCCGAGGTGAGCAGCTTATTAGGCTTGGGCTTGGGCTTAGGCTTAGGGTGCTTATGCTTAGGCTTGGGTTAGGCTTGGGCTTAGTCTTAGGTCTCGGCTTGGGCTTGACTTATGCTTAGACCCAGGCAAAACCAAATACACGTTCAATTTTAGGTGCGGCGTCGGCGTCGCCGTCTTGAATGGGCTGCTGTATGCCGTCGGAGGACACGATGGCGTTGCGTATCTCAACTGCGTCGAAAGGTGACTACGAAGTTTACTATAAACATTTCAAACCTAAAAAATTGCTAAAAATGACTATAAATCTAATTTTTCAGATACGATCCCGCGACGAATCAATGGGACAACACTGTCGCCCCAACAACCTCGTCCCGAACATCGGTTGGCGTGGCGGTGCTGAACCGTTCGTTTTTTTTAGGCTTGGAAAGCTTCTTAACATCAAGAATGTGATTTTTAGAGCCAAATTTACAAAACACCTACAAAATTTAGGCTGTCTTTACGCCGTCGGGGGCCAAGATGGCGTCAGCTGCCTGGATTTGGTCGAAAAGTAAAAACTAACGCAGAAAGAAACAACTAAACTTCCCTAGATACGATGCTCGCGACAATAAATGGACCCAGGTGGCCAGTATGGGAACGAGGAGGCTTGGCGTCTCGGTTTCGGTGCTCAAGGGATGTCTTTATGCCATCGGAGGTTCAGACGGGCAAAACCCGCTACGAACTGTTGAACGGTAGGCGATATAAAGTTATACCAACCAGAAAACTACAACTATATAACTATTTAATGTCATATTTTAATTGAAAACCAGCTAGGAAACGACAATAAACTAGCTAATTTCAGCTACGACCCCCGGACCAATAAATGGACGTCCGTGCAGCCTATGAATGTCCCTAGAAAACATCTCGGAACTGCTGTGTTTGATGGGAAGCTGTATGCGGTAGGTCGACCTCCGAAAGCCTAAAAACAGCAACCTCAGGTCGGCGGGCGAGACGATAAGCTGGAGCTCGATTCTGCGGAATACTACGATCCCATTACGAACGAGTGGCGCTTCATCGTCGCCATGCAGAGCCGACGATCTGGGGTAATGTATTAATTAAGTCTGCATATAACAATCGTCAAACTTTAGGTTGGCCTTTCGGTGAGCAAAAACAAGCTCTACGCCGCCGGCGGGTTCGACGGGAACTCTTATCTGAAATCTGTTGAGGTGGAGGACATCGAACTTTACTTATTAATAACTATTTTCAGGTCTACGATCCACAGGAGATGTCCTGGCGCTTCCACAGCAACATGAATTTTCGTAGATTGGGCGGTGGGGCCGGTAGGGAGAACTTTACAGGAGACTATCCAACTTTTTAGCGACTATCCCGATGCTGAACGTGCAGGAAGATAAAGCCAAAGAGCAGCAGGAAACAAGCGAATCGGGGGAATCGCCAGAAGTCGAGAAACGTGAAATGGAGGACAATGTCGGATAGTGCTAATCATTGCCAAAAACTTGTAAACTTTTCGGGTGCCGATAAAAGCCTTTTTGCCGCAATAAACTCTTTAAATGGGATTGTCGATCTAATACACAAACACGCACCTAAAAATAAATTTTCTAATGCCGAAAATATTCTATTTTTTTTATTATTCTCCTTTGTTTTATTGTATTTTTCAATGGCGAAAAGGCGGCGGGCCCGCCGTGACATTTGGTTGCGTAAAGTTGGGTGGGCTACACGGCACTCCAAAAGACGGAACGATGCCGTGGCTCTCCCCATCACGGCGTTTAGGCCTCCCGTTTTCGCGTTCTGAATTTTTTCACGCGGGGTCTGAATTCATGCCAGTGGTTTTCGTATTCGGGTTTACTATAAATAAATGCCGAATCGAAAACTACTTCTAAAGTTTCCCCCTTTCCTCCGTGTACATGATAAATTTCGTGTCTTCTTGCCTCCCTCGTTTCTTGCCCATCACATCTTTCGTTTTTAGTTACTTGGAAGAATGCTGATTCCCAAATCACACCGGCGCGCAATCTACGAATACCTCTTCAACGAGGGAGTCACCGTCGCCGCCAAGGACCCCAATGCCAAGACGCACCCGAACATCGAAGGAGTCACAAATCTCGAGGTCATGATGGCCATGAAGGTAACTTCTTTTTTTTTGGAATTTCCCCTGGTTCGTGAATGAATCCCGCATACCGCTGCCCGAAACAATACTAGGCGTGGCGACTTATTGGCAGCAAATTTTTGCGTAGTGGCGCTTTTTGCAAGAACCGCTTTCGAAGCTAGTGTTCGTTTTTTTTTTTGCCAGTCGGGCAGGTCTGTTTGAAGCGCAGATAGAGTGAAGAATGGATTGAGTTCACTTTCAACACCACGGCTCTTTTACTGGGTGCTTTAGTTTTTACCACGAATCGCTGTCTCAAATCATTCATGGATGTTGTTTGGCTAGTTTGGGGCCCGTTACTCGCACTTGGCTTTCTTTCGTTTGCCTAGAGTATATTTTCACTTTTCAGAGCTTGGCCTCGCGGGAGTTGGTGAAGCAGCAGTTCGCCTGGCGCCACTACTACTGGTATTTGACCAACGAGGGCATCACCTACCTCCGCGAATACCTGAATCTGCCAGAAGGAGTCGTGCCCGCTACAGTCAAGAACAAGGCCAAGGAGCCCCGATTGCCGCTCGGAGACCGCCCGTCCCGACCAGGTTTGTCACTTTCTTGGATTAGCCTTGCTTGTTTCTTTTCTGTGTGTATCTTATTCCTTTTAGGCCCGAAGGCCGAGGGAGATCGTGATGCCTACAGGACGACCGAGAAGCAGACTGATGCCGGACCCGGAGCTGCCCCCGTTTACCGAGCCGGATTCGGACGTGGCGGCCCTGCACCTCAGTAATTCTTTATTTCATAAATTGTTGTTTTTGCTTACCGTACATAAATTTTTGTTACTGTCGCGATCGCCATTTGAAGCAAATATAAAACTTTGAAGTGCTTTGAGATCACAATTCACACCCAAACAGATATAACGCATATAATTAGAGATACAGCTGCTTTTATTGGCTTGATGCTGGCGGGTGTTTTGTTTGCTCTTGAGGTCTCTAGGTAGTCCTTGCCTTCCCAGGCACCGTGAAATTGTAGCTATTGCCCTGTTTTCAATGTGCTTCTGGGCGAAGGGGCTGAAGTGGTGACGACCCGTGGTGGAGAGGGTGCCGTCGGCAGGGGATCGATCGGCCCGAAGGCAGCCCCACCCCTTCTCCGCTTCTTTGGGGCCGGGCGAAAAATACGCATTCCCGTCTCGGGCACGCGTTGGGATCAGCCCGTAAATGACTACCAAATATCCATATTGCCAGCCTCCTTGATTGAATGCATTTTTGCCTTTCATCGTTGTCCATTTTATTGGATTCGGCCGTGGTGCTCCGGTGTGCCCTCATCAACACAGATTAGCCAATTGGCAAATTGGGGTCCCCAAAGGACCTGGGCCGGCGAGTGTAGCTGGCTCTTTCCAAGCTTTCCATTGTTTTTGTTGCAGAATTTTTGGTTCTTTGACCTAACTCTAGATTCCCTAGGGTCGGCAGCATGGCCGATTATGACTATTTGATAAAGTTTCTCGCACTTGGGGACTCGGGAGTCGGAAAGACGTCGTTTTTGGTAAGTTTTTACCAATTTTTGGTAGGCGGTGTGGGGGATATTTGTAATCCAGATCCGAAATTTTGGTTTGGGTGACGTTGAGCGGCTGATTTTAGAGGCTTATTTGATAGCGTTTTCGTTGGATTATGTTCAGGGCGATAAGCCAGTCACACCGGCCCCCCACACGCCTGGGGTTTAGGAATGTGAGCCGGAAACTGGCCCGGAAAATCGACAGCTTTGGAAATCAATCGAAAAAGAAACTTTCAGCACCGATACACAGACAACACGTTCACGGGTCAGTTCATATCAACGGTAGGCATCGATTTCAAGGAGAAGAAAGTGGTAGGTGCCGGATTCAACTCGGTCAGTGCCGTTTGTAGGTGTACAAATCAGCGCGCGGCGGTTTCGGCGGACGGGGGCAACGGGTGCTCTTGCAGCTATGGGATACCGCCGGGCAGGAGAGGTTAGTGATTTAGTCGCAGTAGTAGAAGATACTATATTACTTCAGATTCCGCTCGTTGACGACTGCCTTTTTCCGGGACGCGATGGGCTTCATCCTGATCTTCGACATCACCAACGAGCAGTCGTTTTTGAACATTCGAGACTGGCTTTCACAGTTGAAGGTGCGTGTTTTTATGCTGTTTTTTCTGTAGTACTTAGATGAAATGTAGAAGAATTGGAACGCTAAATTTTGACTAGTTTTTCGGGCCTACAACCACATTTTTGGGGTTTTAAAGAATTTTAGAAATTTTGAAAGGTGTGTCGATTGTAATCGTGTAATTTCACGAATATCAATATAAAAAATATTGTATTTTTTCCAGGCCCCACTGGAGGGCTTTAACTTTACAATTTTACATTTTTTCAGGTGCACGCCTATTGCGAAACGCCAGATATCATCATCTGCGGAAATAAGGTGAGTCAAGTGTTCCGGAAATCCCCCTTCTAATCGTTATAACTCATTATCCCCCCATTTTCCAGGCAGACCTGGAGAACCGACGACAGGTGAGCACAGCACGAGCCAAGCAGCTGGCCGATCAGTTGGGGTGAGCACGAGTTTAATGGTTTAAATATTGGCAAAAACGTTTAAAATCGATTTTTCTGCAGACTGCCCTACTTCGAGACGTCGGCGTGCACGTCGACGAACGTCGAGCGGGCCGTGGATTGTTTGCTGGACCTGGTGATGCAGCGCATTCAGCAGAGCGTCGAGACGAGTGGTGCGTTTTTGGGGTTTTTCTTTACCTATAGCTTCAACCTCGACTTTATGACTGTAGGTTGATGTTCCAAAGATTTACAGGAGCTTTTTTAACTTTTTAAAGGACCGGGGCCTTGGCATTGGCACGGGGTAACCGTTTCGAGTTTTGTCAAATAAATAATAGATGTGTTTGTACGATTTTAATTAGTAAGACAACGATAAAACTGATAATTATTCACCTAAAAAATTGATATTTGGGTATAAACAGCGATTTTTCGGCTTAAAATGATAAAAATGTCGGATTTTTCGACCATCTTACTAAATGTTTACATTTTTTTGCAGATCTAGTTAAATTTTGCGATGAATTTAAAGATCTGTTCTTACTGTTAATTGTAGCGGTTTCGACGGCCTAACTAGGGCTTAGAAAAAAAAAATATCTTTTCGAAACAGTAATTCCCGGAAATATGGCTTTTTCCGGCGACTTTTTATAATTTATCAGAAATTGGTTTCTGTTTTAACCTTATTAATTGAAAGTTCAAGTTAGTAATTATAGGTTAAGAGTTAGTTGCGTTACATTTTAAAGAATTTTTAACGTTTATGTTAGTTTTAAAATTTTTAATTTTAACGAATTTTTGCCCAATTAAACTTAATGCTGACGATTTTCAGGGCTACCCCTATCCGAGTGCCGTGGCGTGTCGCTCGACGCCGAAAATCCGCCGGCCGCCGGCTACTGTGCCAATTGCTAGCCCTCGATTTTTCCATTGTTCATTCCCATATCTGCTCTCCCCCAAATTCATTGCCTAATTGCTTTCCCCTCTTCCTCCTCCTCCTGGTCCATTTCGGTGTTACGCATCTCGTCAATTATTCCGCAAATTGCCTGTGAACGGATATCATCTAGGATATTCACATTATTGTTGTGGGGCGCCAGCCATTTTTAGTTTAAAGGGGCGGGCAAGCTGGGCCATTTTTCTAATTTTTAAAGGTATAATTAGAAAACGCGATTCTACAATGTTTTCTGCAATATTTAAACGTAAAATTTTCGAAATTGTTACTCAAAAAATTAAAATTTGCTATTTTTTATCAAAATTTGGATTTTTAAGGTTTTTTGGACCATTTTTCCACTTTTAATACAGATAATTTTAGCAAAAAATATTATTATGATTCTACTATTTCGACCGATAGCCCCGATTTTATATTACGTAATCGAATAGAACCGTGCTGCTTTTTGGTCAAAAAGCTAAATCCATAACAAATCAACGGCCAAATCTTACCCGCCCCTTTAAAGCCCTGAAAATCTTTTTTTTCGTAAATTTCTAGCCCTGTCCTGTAATACAGCGCATTTCACTTTTCATCAACTGTGTTTACGCCTAGAAGCGGAAGCGCTTAGGGCGAGAATTTTCCCCCAAGAGCCCCGCTAGCCTGCTACATCTCGGAACTTTACCCTCTCCCAATTACACCCTCGAGCTGCCAAAACACTGTGTTTTTCTGTGAGTCTCTGGTTCTGGTTCATTAGCGGGGGGAGCGTTAGCCCACAAAACAATAAAAAAGAATTTGTAACAGTGTTTGGAATAGTTTCCGATTACTAAAAAGTTTAAAAACATCGAAAAAATTAATTTTCATATTTATTTCGCCCAAAAAAATTAGAAAATTTCTTGTAATTTGAATGCTTTTTGTAGCGTATACTTATACTTAAAAATGGTATAAAGAGCTACAGAAATGGTGTGTGTTTAATTTTTTTGGGGACTTGCTATAGACGGAAGTTAACCACCCCCCGCCCCGCTAAGAGGCCAGAACCGTTTTTCTGTGTTTCTCTCACAATCTCTCACTCTCACTCTCTCTCCCCCAGTATTCTTGCGAAATTGCAAAAAGTGGTGTTTATTTGTAAATACACTGTGCGATATGGAGTGGCGAGAATGGGTCAGCACGGCGGATATGAGAGATCAATTCGGAGGGGCTAGGGGGTACGGTAGCAGCAAAGATTACATACAAATCTTCGAAATTCATATTTCCGAGAGTCAGTTTTCGAAATACAAAAATTTTGGGAAAAAGTTGGGTTCTTTTGCATTATCGCGGGGGGCGGGGATTTCTTCCTATAAACCCTCGAAATGCCTAGTAACATTTTTAGGAAAATTTGACTAGATTTCAAGTGAAAACACTGCCTAAAATTAGCATTTTAAACAGTCTGAAATCACCCAGTCTTTGTCGAAAAACCGACATTTTACTATTTTTACACAAAAAATTCTGTAGTTTTCTACGTTTAGAAACGATAGTAATTGTTCAGGTGCGCTGCCCTAAATTCTATTAGAAAAATTGGATGGGAAAGAAACCCCCCCGATAATGCGAAAGCACCGGAATGGCCGATCTAGGCGAGAAATAGCAATGTAAACTTTTCGAAACGGTTTTCGAAACGCTTTCCAAAAGTATCCGTTCAGAAAGATAAATTTACATAATTAGGAATAGAAAAAATGATGCACCGGCACGGAATGTACAAAGGAATACTGACTGCAGACAGAGAAATAGAGAAATACAGGGTGTCCGAAAAAAGCACACCCTCTAGCCGGCTGCAGTCGTGTCCGATTTTGACGATTTAGGTATCTAGCGAAAGCTCTCCGAAAGGCGACTCCAGCACGTCTCACCGATAATCGGAATTTCGAAATGTTTCGCTCGATTTTCGGCATTTTTCATGCAAAAAGGACGTGCTGGACTCGCCTTTCCGAGAGCTTTCGATAGATACCAAAATCGTAAAAATCGGACATGTCTGCGGCCGGCTAGAGGGCTAGGGGTGATTTTTTGGGGACATCCTGTAGCAGAGATCGGGAGATAATAGAGGATACAGGCACTTGGCAAAAATACAAAAAAAAATACCATACAATGTCAGCCGTCACGACAAAACTTGGGGTTTTTTGAAGGAGCCGAGCACTGCTCTTATACTAATTGACATGGGTCGATCTGAACCCTTAAAACGTGCCCAATGACATTGCTAGAAGCTGGCCCTCCGCGGGCCGTTCACTTGCTGTTCCGCTTGGCGATGAGGTTCTTGGTGCGAGTGGGCACCGGCGAGTGGCCTACCATCTCGATATTTGTGCACTCGGTCTGCACGGCGCTCCGTCTAAATTCTGCGCTCTTTTAGGGGGTACTGTAGGTGAAAATTTTGGGAAATGGACTGGGTTAGTGGTGCAGTGGAAGCTGATTTGTTTTGTAGCTTGATTGGAGCGAAAACTGCAAATGATCTCTGCTGGATTGCCTTGAACTAGCTCGGGAAATCGGCATCAGCCTAAGCCAAGCCTAAGCCAAGCCTAAGCCAAGCCTAGGCCAAGCCTAAGCCAAGCCTAAGCCAAGCCTAAGCCAAGCCTAAGCCAAGCCTAAGCCAAGCCTAGGCCAAGCCTAAGCCAAGCCCAAGCACGAAATTTTCTATCTCCAGAAATGCCTGATTTCGTAATACAAATATTTTCATGCTGTTTTTTAGTAAAATTTAGCTATATTTCAAGCGGAAAAACTACTGAAAACCGCTAAAATTATTCTTCATACCTTGAAATTTTGCTCGAAATCGGGCTAATTTGGTGGAAAACCGCTTTTTTTCTGTATCTGTTACAACATTTTTTTGTTAAAGACTAGTAAATACAACTGAGAAAACTTAACCTATTTATATTAGAAAATTTGAAACTAAATAAAGAAAAAAAAGTTGATTTTCTTGCGCTATACTCCCCCTGATAATGGAAAAGATCCCAAAATGCTAGATTTTCTTGCAGGATACAAAGGAAAAAGTTGGGTTAACCTTTATACCCCCACCCCCCGATAATGTAAAAGATCCCAAAAAGCTTTATTTTTTCGCTGGATACTGTAGAAGCCAAGTGCATGTTAGAACGGGTGAGCGGCATGTGGGATACTGTACGTTCGTGTGTCCAGAGGTGCAGTGTGTACCTTGCCCCCAGAACAGGACAGACAGAAGACCCACATGGGTGCCGACGATGACGAGGAGACCGGCTGATTGGAGAAAGCACGCCGTAGATGATCACCGTTGAAGCAGAACCAAATCCACGGGTTCACGCACGAGTTCAGGTTGCCGAAGAACATGATGTAGGTGGCGATCAAGGGGCCTGAAAATGTGAATAGTAATTCTTGGTTCTTTGGCATTATCGGGGGGATTTTCCTTTATTTAGATTTCCGGAAACCCAATTTATAGGGGCTGTTCTATAGCCTGGCAACGTAACAATAAGTATTTTAACGTTAGATTTTTACCAACATTTAAATAGCCAAATTTCAAGTGGAAAAATTGCGAAAAAACTTTGAAGATTTTCTAAATTGCAATTTCTGAAACTAGAAATTTCAGCATAATCCCGACAGCAAAAATAGCGACAGCCCAGAATCCCAACGCAATTTTTAACGCTAATTTGACTACCACTCCTCTTCAGTGGTTTTGCTGGTGGGGGTTTTGGTCTGTCGGCATTTTAGCTATCGGGATTTTGGTCTGTCGGGATTATGGTTGTCGGGATTTCGGATAGCGCTATTTTGGTGTATAAACCCACTTATAGCCTCCGGATATACAGCGTCGATCACGGAGATGAGACAAAACGGGGCCCACAGCACAAAATTCGCCGCCACGATGGTCATCGTCAGCTTGACGGTCTGGATACGCCGCCGGTCCAGCTCGATTCGATGCACGCGGACCCCTAAAAAAAATTTGTTAAGTTTTCCTATACGTCCAGATATAGCTAGTGATGTAAAAGCATTTTATTGGCCTTTTTAGTGGGTTTAGAAAGATTTTTGATAAATAAAATTACCTTGTAATTTTTAAAATGTTCAGAAATGTGGAAATTTGGTCGAACCCCGATAATGCCAAAGCACCGAATGGACATACCTTTTTGGTGCATCTGCTGATCCTGGCCGTTGACCAGCAGCGGCGTCCTTCTTGAAATAATAATGATCCGGAAAAATGGAGCTTACTTGTCCCGCTTGAAGCTGTCCCCGAAAAGCGTGCTCTGCCACACGGCTTTACATACGCAAAAGTAGAAGTAGCCCGCGCACGCCGACGGCAGCAACCACACGACCATGTTGAACACCACCACGTAGAGGGCATACTGTAAAAAATTCGGGAAATGTTGCTTAGGGGGCTTATGATTTTCAAAAGCCATCAGTTAAGGCATCAAAAATTTGCCCTAAAATCTTTATTTTTACTTCAGCTCGGGGAGCTTAATTTAAAACGATTTTTAAGTGATAAAACTGTTCGCTATAACAAAGTAAGTTTTAGTTTAAGGTATTTGGGACAGTTTTAGATGCGTAATATAATTTTTTACGCTTTATCCGATGGAATTCATGAATCCCGACAAAAGGTCGAAAACATCGAAAATCGAAAATTCCATACCTGCCAACCACTTGTGTAGTTCACCGTACAGTCGCCGTCTTGTTTCCC